GCCCCTGTAATTCCCTTAATCAGCCGTTTTCCGACCTCACAGCGCCATGTATGGTAAACGGAGGGCCACAGATTTATCCTAAGAGAGTATTTCAAAGAAAAAACAATTCCATCGTGAACTGCGACAATGCGATTTACATTCATAGTCGCAAAAGCATTTTGAATGCGCATGTGACCTGTAGAAAGATATACGGCTGAAATGTGAAAGTCAATTTGTTCATTTTTTTTACTTGTCAGGGCGAAGGCGGTGTAATGGCAAGTGGCGCACTTCCCACACGCACGGTCAGTTATTCGAATCCATATCCGGCAGGGCCAACCAAGCCTTCCATCCCTCCGGGGTCGGTTAATTGGTGCCAAACTCTTCTGGGAGGATGAGAGCGCTGACTCGTTGAACAGCTAGCCAATTCATTGTATAGGCCCATACGCACTAATTACGCCACTATGATTCTGAATGGAAGTCAAGTGCGGGGGCGCATCCCTCAGAGGAGATTGATTGACGCCAAAAACTTTATCCTTTTGTACTAGTTGGGATGAAAGTAAAACGGAAAGCTTCTCCATATCAAAGGCCCAGGTCGCGATAAAAATGGATTTGAGATATCAGGCTCAGAAAAATCTGTGGTTCCTTCGTATACCATAGGTGACGCTGTCACCGCGGAAAACCGCCTAGATAGGTCGTTGTAATGGCTCTAAAATTGTCCCGTGTTTATGCGTGGACGAGTTGTAGAAGCTGCTCCATCCACAAGGGAACTCATGTAGGAAGTTAAAACAACTTGTCGTAGCCCATAGCGACAGTGATGGGTAATTCTGGACAGTTTTGGCTCCATGTAATTAGCGTTTTGCGCAATTGCAACAACTGAAATCTTTCCTCTAGTTTTCTTGAATAGAGCCAATGCCCTTTACTAGTTGCTAGTTGCACCGTTTTGGCTCTACTTTGGATATTAGAGAGGTTCTGCAGCACTTTGTTCAAATTTGTTCAGTAGAAATTTTTATTACTTTAATGACAATATCTTTTTTTCAACGAGTTACGATTACAGCCTGTTTCCAACATTGTTGCGTATCGGATCATATTGTACCAACCCTGAAAATGTTAGAGATTACTACTAAGCCCAAGAAATTTGTACGACATCGAACACTGGTATTAATTGATAATATAAGTATTTAACAAAAACTGGCAGCACCATACTGCCATAGTTTCTGAAACACAAAAAGGATTTGCTTGACCTTCTCATAGTGGCTATCCTTCTTTGCATTTCCTTCTCTCTGTTTTCCATTTCTTTTTGTTCCTTGTTAAGAAAATGCTTTGCTAACACATCTGCCCATTCAAACGGTGCATAGTAGTCGATTTTGAAGTCCTTCACCAATTTTTCGAGAACTTTTTCGTGTTCCTGAATTTCCGCAAGCTATAGCATTGGGAGCTCCTTTTGGGAGCCTCGTACCAACCAGTTGAGTTGGTATTCAAATACAGTACCCAACCATGTCTTCCACTCACAAAAAAAAATCTGTTTGACATTTTGCTTGCTGTCAGAGGAACAAAGACTTCTTGAATTTTCGGCCGAAGGCACGCTTCACGGTGAAAACGGTTTTGAACTCTGAACTTTCCCCGTAGTATGATCACGTGACATCCAAGGATAGCATAAGGAGCGTTGCCGCGCCGAAAATTAGTGAAGATAGGGCGTCAAAAGGGCCCCCCTAAAGGCTCGACCGACATACACACCCAAGGTGGACGAGTTGTTCAGCGTGTAAAAGCTGTAGGGCTGCATCTTTCGCACACGCCTACTTGCTGTAGCCATCAGTATGCAATGACAAACACACCTGGACAGCTCGTCCAAATACCCCTTCCATACAACTTTCGTTGTCACATTCTCGTCCAACCCCCGATTTTATTGCTTTTTTGAAGCCTTACACTTATCTAAACCCACTGAAGTCTCTCATTACACTGCCATGACCTCCTTGAGGATGAGCATAGGCCCCTTGTCTGTCAGTTGCACCGAAACACCCGAGGAATGTTGGAAGGAATCATTTTATGCAACAGTTTCAATATTATACAGACCTCATAGTTCGGCCGTTGGGCACCGCTTATTTCATCGATGAGTTTTCTGATAGTGATCAGATCTTTCGGCACGGCTGTGTCGCAATATACTACTGCATCATCTGAGTCGATAAAAATTAGATAGCTAACAATGTCATGTGATCTGTCCAACTTACATTTTCCGGCAAAAAAGCATTCTTTCAAGAAAAACATCTTGTCGAGGTCTTCAAGGTCACTCCATGGCAAATAGTCAGTGCCGAATAGCTCAATAACCTGCAATCGCGAGAACACTGCATGAATACTTATAACTTCTTACTGCTGTGCTACTGCTCCACGGATATGTGCGTTCACTTCCCGTGCAATTTCCCAATCTTTATGGTTGATTGGGAGTGAAAACTGATCATGTCAGTGCTCTTCTAGAGACTGCCATCATTTCCTCCTGTGTTCCTTTGACACTCCCTCTTTTTAGCGGTTGTGCTCGGTCGAGT